CAGTTTTAATCCAAGTTTATCCATAAGTTTCTTGATAATAATATTTATAGTGGCTCCAGAATTCAAGATTGCAATTACTGGAGTACCCTTGATTCGAAAATAACATTTTGCAGTAGTGGTTTTATAATGATCTTCATCAGATGCATAATTGATTACTACTGCTTGCTTAGGATGTTTCAGGATTTTCACCAAATTTTTCTATTGATTGGGATATTGTAATATTTGACCCAATGTTGCAGAAGCTTTCAGTTCCAAAATATCATCAGCAATATTGTATGGTAATAATTGGTCTATTACAAAAGATTGAGATTTTATTCTCAGTCATTTGGTTTTGATTGGTTGTACTATTTCTTCCTCAGGTCCTGATTCTTCAATTTCCATTGGTTGGGTTTCAGGAATTACTTTTCTTGTTCGCAAATTTAGTTTCTTTTGTGATTTTAACTGTTTCTATTTATTTTTAGCTTCTTTGCAATTGGTTGAATATGGTGGTTTTCCTCTTTGTTCCATATAGATTTTATTTTCTTCATTCTCTAATGACAAGCTTGCTTCCATAGTCAAATAATTAATTAGCTTTCTTGGTTTTATGGACTTTGATTGGATTCTTTTTGATAAACAATCATGTGCTATATGTTTATATTCTTCACATCAGAAACAGGTAATAGTTTTCTTTTGAATGAATAAGAACTGTGTGGGATGTCAGGCTTGTTTCTCTACTTGTGCTAAGAGAAGTTCGATTCGTTCAGCCAGATTCAATTGCATTTCTCAAATTTCTTAATCAATTTGTCCATTGAATCCTCAGTATTCTTAACAATATTGTATCACATGGATCATACTGGTGGCTTTTCTGAATTGTTTATATCTTGTCCTGCTTCATATGCTTAAGTATATTCAACTGCTTCTTGGATGCTGGTTGGATTATTCATAGAGATAATAAAAGCCAAATGTGATAATAATCCTCAAATAAAATATCAGAGCTTTTGATAGTCATCTATTTCTTAATATAGGTCTGCTCGTTTTATCAATTTCTTGAATGCAGCATAATAGGAATTAACAGGTTTGATAGGTTCTTGTTTTCTTTGTTCCAAGTCTCTGGTCCACTTGTTGATCCATCGTTAAATACAAAATTCTTTTGTGAATGCTTTTCTGATATTTTTCTATTTCATTGCATTATTGTCTGTATGGTACTTGTCATAATAAGTAGTTCACTATTCTTCTGCTTCATCCTGTAGGTATCTATTAAGCATTCGTAAGAGCCTTTTATTTTTCCAATTGTTGACTTTTGCAGCTTTTTTAAAAGCTGAGAGCCAGGTAATCAGATCTTGAGTACCATTCCTATTGAATGGTTCAATCAAATGATATTTTGATAGTTGTTAGCCTTGAGGTAGTTGAGGATATTCTGAGAAGTAGTCATGTTGTCAGGGTTTTCAAAAAGAAGTTCTAAATCTAAGGAATCATTTGTAAATAAGAAGATTCTTTGATATTTAAAAGACAGAGAGATGGGTGGGATCAGGTGACTTAAAAGATAGAATAATAAATCAGGTGATTCAGAAGGATTTTGAAGGGGATCGATTGTAAAGTATTCAAATTTCACTAGGACTTGAGAAAGGGTAATAAGGACTTTATCAAAGAAAAGGGGTTGAGTATATCTTATAGAAAAGATAAGTTGTTTAATAATATGGTCTTGATTAATAAAAAAATAAGAAAGTAATTATTGAAAATATTCCTGGGTTTTGGATGTATAAGTGGTAGCAGAAAATTCAACTTGAAGCCAATACCAGAAGGTCAAGAAAGTAGTGGTTGGTTCTTCAGGTAAATAACAAAGTTCACAAGAATTATCTGAATAAAATAGGTGCTCTTAATTAATATCACTATTTGAAAATAGCTTATAAAACTCGTTGTGTAATTGATTAGTAATAAAATGTATTTTAAAACTATTCATAAAACAAAATACTCAAATTCTTTGCTAGACTTTGGATTTCAAATTACTGTTCTCATTCTTAACAGTAAATACCTCCAATACTGAGCAAAGATCCAATTTCTTTCACTTAGTTTTCAAATTCACAGAGTAGTATATCTCACTGTCACCACCAATTTGTCAACCTATCCAATAAACCTTAAAATTGAATAGATTAACAGACAACTGTAGCAGGGAGCCACTTAAGTTAAAAAGAAATAACCTCAATTGTGATATACTAGAGTTGATAGAATGAAGGAATTCAGCAAGGTTTATCTAATATAAGGCAAGAGGCATGGTGATTTGGTATTGTCATATATCTTCCTATCTCAGGAGAAAGATATGGATAGAGAACTAATAGCAGGGAGACACTTTGTATAGATGGACCAATATGGTATGCTAAAGTTTATAAGGGTATACTAAAATTAGTACAGTTCTGAGGTATATGAGGTCAAGCGAAAGAGGCAATAGTGATTTGTTTTATAAAGGTCAAGTTATTTTATTAATAAAGAGGAAAGTTCAACCTTGCAATTCCAGGAGGAATTGGAGGCATTTATATACATATTTTTGATATATGATTTGCGTACATGATAGTAGTATACTTTGGTAAAGATAATAACTATGGAAGAGATGATATCTTTGTCAAAATAGTCAACTATACTTACTTTGATAGAGATGAATACTCTGGCGAAAATAACAAAGTAATAATAATAAATAAAACTAAAGAATATTTTAGAATAGACAGAGATGGCTAAATAGGCAAAGTAGGCGAAAATACTATAGTAGATCAATAGTACAGAAATTCTAGAAATGGTAAAGATACAATATGTGCCAAAAGTGCAGTAACAGATCTGTAATACAAAATTATTCTAGAATAGATAACATTTCAAGGGTAAATGTTAGTAAAATTGAACAAGGGTAATGAAGATCATTAGATGAAAATCACATGTAACAATTCTTCTCCACTAATCTGCGAGTTCCATGAGTAAATTGTTGAATTAGGAAAGATAAATTCATGTGAATAAGCTTCCCATACTATTCTTAAATTGAAAATTTTATTGATATGTTGTCCTGATAATCAATTTCTATAATTGTATAACTGATACTCAAATATTAACAATGCTTAGCAAGATTTGCTGCGCTTGCCTCACAATTCAAGACTTATATGTTCAATATTACTTTTGTATTCATTACTGATATTCTCTTTGTTAGACTTTGGATTCACAAATTACAGACTGTCTGTTATTGTAAATATCTCCAATACTAAACAAAGTTTTTCCTACAGTTTTTCCATATGATTTTTTTTTATCAGAGTGTCAATTGAGTTTTCCTTGTGTTATTCATCCAGATTTCACATGTTAAATGATTATCTCTCCTAGTTATATTAGGTCAATCCATTTAAGTTTGCTCATATGCTTGTTTTCCTTAAATGGTATTCAGTGGTGAGGGTGAATTTCAAGTTGCAGATTCATGGCGGTCAAAAGATCTTTTTGTTTCCATTAGTTTCTTAAATAATTTAATATTTAAGAATTGATTTCATTCAAATATTGTTAAACTCACCAAATACAAATTCAACTATTATTTTCAAAAATTTTTGTGTGTTGTTTTCCAAGGTATCAATTTTTGAACTATTTTTTTTTGTTTAATATTGAGTACTGATTTTTCTTTACTTTTTTCTTGCTTCAGGTTTGTTGTTATTATGCTCAGAAGTCATCCTATTACTCGCTCCTTCAATAAGAATCCATTGGAAATTACAGTTAACTACTTGGAAGAACATGCCAAATATTTGCAAAGATGTTTGCGCAGGTCAGAACAAAATAATCTTCTCTTGGAACAAAAGTTGGAAATGGTCTTTGAGGAAATAACTACACTTAAAAAAGAATGCACCAATCATTTGGCTGTAAGTCAAACTCGATCAGGTATAATTGGTATCCTCCGATGTCATATTGCTGAACTTGAATCCAGAAATAAAGAATTAGAAAGGGAACTCCTTTATTGTTGAAGAACTTCAAGTCCAAACTCAAATTCCTGGGCTCATATGGATGGTCCTTGGGAAAAACAATATTGTCCTCCATATGATAGAGATGGCATGCTTATTGAATATGAATATAAACTTAATCCAAACTGGGTGCGATTAAATCCTGGAAGAAATCCTGGACCTTATCCTCTCAGTTATCAAGAAGAACAAAAAAGAAGGAATAATAATAACAATAATAATAATGTGTAAGAATTTGTTTTTAAATAAAGAATTGTGTAATTTTGGGATATAACAGTTGCTACTGATAAGAAAATGACACACTGGAGCTAGGGTTCTGACCAGTGGCAAATAATTGGAGCTAGAGTTCTGGCCGATTATTTTGCTGTTATATATATTTTTTCTGTTTTGTAGAAAATCTTGTATTAGCTTCTTTTAATTGGTTCTTTCTTTTGTTCAAGGGTTCAATGATACTTGTGTTTGGGCAAGTTGAGGACTGGGTTATCATGGTATCTACGTCTATGTCGTATAGCCTGGGTGCTGTATTTTATACAGTAGCTAAAGGATACCTCAATATTTCAATGTTTTTTATTAAAAATATAAAAGTAATAATAATAATAAAGTTTTAATAAAATTAAAAATGTTTTATGTAAATAAAATAAATATATTGTTCATACAAAATGAATTAAAAAAATAGTATTAATCACTTTGATAATTTCATAAAATGCTATAGCCTCAAACATTATCCTGCTACAAATTTGCACTTCATAACTGACCAGTCTTTAACCAGCATATGCTATGGATTCTTAAGAATCAAGATCGTCTACAGCTATATAATGGCTTTATGAAATTACCTAAGCAATCAATAATATTTTTTCAAGTCATAAGAAATAAAGAAATAAAATGATATGTGTGTTACTAAATATTAATAGAGTGTGGGGATAATCAAAGGAATAATGAAGAAATCATAAAGGAATTGTAAAAAAAAAGGTAAGGATAATTAAAAGGGATAAGATAATCATTAAGTTAGCTTTTATTTTTGTTTATAGAATCTTGGTGGTGCAGTGCGGTTTAATCTCGATGGGGCAAGATCAGAGCATATATGCTAGTAAGATTTTTGACGATGTCGAAGTATATGCTAACCATGTCTCTCTTTTCTTTTTTAGTAAACAGATGATCAGCGAGGATCGTAGGTTCGTCAAAGTCTTCTTTCTGTAGGTCTTGATGTGGCTTCGTAAAGGACAGGTTGGTTGGTTTGGCGGCAGAAACTTTCTTTCTCTTTTCTATCATTGTCCTTGTTGTGATGGTGGTATCTCCATTGTCGAGAGGCATGCGATCATAATCATGATCGTGATTGCGATCATGATGGCATTCCGACATTGGTCTTCAGGGACTGTTGTAGGTATTCTCTTTTTCACAGTCACCATATCGATCTTGTCCCTACCGTCATCGTTATATAGTTCTTGGTTGCGGCATGCTTCAGTATTGTCGGAGTCTTTTTTGTTTTCAGGATCTTCTTCAGCCTCTAGGTGGTTTCTTCAAATTCGCGTGAAGTAGGAGTTGCATTATCGTCATAGTCGTCATCAATCACATGGAGTTTCGGTTAGACCAGCTAGGTAGTCGTCATCATCGTCATTTTCATGCTGATGGTGACCATATTTTCCGTCTTGATCATCATTTCTACAGCTTCACGCTCTAAGACACCTGACTTACGGAATCCCAGAGAGCTTCTATAATCACGGTGATATATGGTGAAAGTTCAAAATTTATTGATCTTGATACATCATTTGCTTTGCCCAGAAATTCCTTATTTTAACTCGCTATAAATGAAGATTTGCAAAAGGGACATTTGATCGACTGAACTAGTGGACGATATTGGTGTTACCGGCGTTGAAGGGGTGTAATTCTTGAGTTCCTTGCTTTGGGATTCAGCAAGTGTAAGATAGAGCTCATTAATTTTTGACAGACATTCCTGATATCTACTCTTTATATCATTAAGGTTATTCACTGTTATATCATGATTTTTGTAATTCTGACAATCTAGTTTCCAAGATTTCAAATTGTTATTCTTCAGGGAGGCGGAAGACGTGTGATTGTAATTGTTATCATGATTGTGATCACGATTATGACAGCATTTCGGCAGAGTGTCCTCACGAATTCCCGTAACTCTTTAAGTTGTTGATATAATGGTATATATAGATCCTCACGACTAATACCTTTAACACCTACTCGTACCATGGCATCTTTCCATTAATCAGAAGAGAGTTGGGAATCAAGACGACGATTTCATTGATCTCTATCTTCTTGAATGCCTTTGGGCAAATAGTTCAATAATCTCTTGAGCTAAATCTGTTAAATATTGCATTTGTTCTGGAGTATAGTTATCAGATTATAGATAATAGACCAAATCCTAAATGCTGCGAATATTGTTTAAGTCTTCTGATGTTTACCAGAGGGTTTTGCATAAAAAACTCTGTCTTTATCATCTCCATTAAAGAGGTTGATGATAAAGTTAAACTGATAGAAGAGCTTTCTATAGGTATGTTTTTGTTTTCGAAGCGCCATTCTCCTTGTGACCTTTTCTCTTGACAGGACCCTTTTTATGCAGTCTTCTTTGGAATCAGTATTTCTTTCTAAACACCCAGCATCCCGACATTGTAATTCTTTGGGGCTGGTGTTCATCGCGGTGAATATTCTCCATTTTTATTTTTTTTTTTATGTGTGGACGATTAATACTAACTCAGCATCGTCCTTTCTCTATCATTCTAGGTTGTGGTGATGTCATGGATCTGGGAATTTCGTTATTCACGGCGTATAGGTCTTCTTCGTGATTAGGGAATGGTGCGCGATCGTGATCATAATTGAGATCATGATTATGACAACAGATCTTCGAGGCTGTCATTTTTTGTCGGTCTTGATAAGTTGCGGCATTTTCTTCTTTTTGCGACATTTTATCAATGACTTCTAACTTTTTCTTACCAGTTTTTTCCTAGCTCCATGCTCTCAACGTCTGATTCGCCATCTGCAGGTTCTCCTTGATTCTCGGCGATATCAACGTCCCTGGCTTGACTACTGGAATCTCGTCGGTAAGTTTGGTTCTCTGCCATTAGTTTTTTCGCTGTTCTTCTCTTTTTACTGGACGGTCCTTTCTTTCTTTAGGAACTTATCCCTTAATTCTTTCAGTGCCACAGTGTTTCTTTGTGATCATCAGTATCATCATCAGAATCATCTTTGTCATTACTACTATCAAGTCCGAGATCTGAGCTATCATAGCATGATATACCTTCATCATCTGAGGATTTATCCCTACAACTACTGTCGTTTTCAGTTTCGTATACCACAACGTTCTTTAATATGATAATACCAAGGCATGTCCATATTGTAGTTTCCATCTGCTTTTTCAGCTTTTTCTCTTTCTCCATGTGTTCTACTATCATTATTCTTGGAATCCGAAGTATCAGTGAATTTATTAGCGTCGGTATTAGATGTGCTGGATAACGGGTTTTCCGGATTCAGTTCGACTACTACTGGTAACTTTTTTTTTTTTTTATTATTTTATTTATTTATTTATTTTTTTCCTAAAACGACAAAATGTTAATTCGCCATTTTCTCTTCTTTATATGCTAGGGGTGACAATCTTCTCATGATCATACTGCATCCCAACAGTATTCTCGCTGAGAGGTAAGTATCTTCTTGGTCTGGGGTCTTCTCTTGTTTTTTGTTTCTTCAAGGGCGGCGAATTTCATTATTACGGTATCATTTATTCATTATTCATTTTTTTTTTATTTTTTTTTATATTTTAATAATTTTTTTAAAAGATGTATATACTGCTGATCGTCATTTTCAAGGCTTCGCTTTTCTTTTGCGCAAGCCATTCCGGAGCTTCTATTGTTAATTTGGGACTTCTTTTAGATCGGAACGATGCTTCTTCATCTATTCAGCATATACCAGCAGCCGAATTCTTCTTGGACATCGTCGTTGGAGCGGAATTGACTGTTGTTTCTTGGATCGTCACAAACACAACGTCGCTTTCGTCACTCTTGTGAAGATCGAACTTCCTCAGGAGCAATTTCTCAGGGGTGGCAATCAAAGGGTGTTCCATTTTTGAAACCTGATTGTCAAACTTGCGTCTAACGGATGAGGCGCATCTCACAGTCACCACCAATTTGTCATATATCTTCCTACCTCAGGAGAAAGATAT